TAAACAGTGGTGGTCATTAAAGAGATTTTGCAGCTTCGGTAGGTGAGTTTGCAGACAATAAGCATTAGGAAATGGCAGAATATGACTGTCTGCGGGCAGCATGTGTTGTCTGGTATGGTAACACAGCCGGGCATGATGGGGAGAGCTGACATCAGCAGACCAAACAAAGTGAACAGAGCAAAGCATGAGTCATGCTAGGAATTGTTCCTAGGTTTCTTGTTGCTCTCAGATGCAGATGTGATCAGACTGATTTATGGGTGTGAATACAATAAGGTTTATTAAAAAGAGACTTTTGAACCTACAATGTATTTTCCCATATGAATCAAAGGCGTTTGCCTTTAGACAACCTGTTTATTGATATGTGGCTACAAAACACACAATGGCAATCAACAGCAGTGACGGTTGAGTAAACAAAAAAAAAAACAAGACAAAACTGGCAGTTAGGTGAGCACAATAACACGCATGTTATAGATGAAAAAAAAAATCCATAAATATACGAGTAGAAGAAGAGTTCCTGGAGCTAGATAAATTTTAAGTTCACTTTAGATAGAGACAAAAGAAAATCGTCCTAGATTGCTCAATAACGCAAATAAAAGTGTTTCCCCACAGCAAACTTCCTTTCACCGATCACTGTAGGGATCCCTGCAAGTCGAAACTCGTAGTCAGCAGACACTTGCCCAGATGCAAATTCAGCTGCATGTGTTGTCCTGGAAGTCAAATCATTAGTCAAACCAAAACCATCTCAGACCTCAGCTGCATGTCAGCCGCGAGGGCCATATAAAGGAAGGGTTGTGCGACTATAAACTAATGGGGGAGACCGGGGTTCACAAAAGAAGGCAAGTCTGGTCAAAACCATGGCACAGGAAGGATACACCCAAACACACCACGCGTATCCCAGGAGGTACAACTAAAATATTTATAAAGCCGTATCTGAATATTGATCTTCAGGAAGCATTCAGCGTGACTGGCGACATGCTCTTGATCTATGCTCCATTAAGTTATTCTGTAACCTACCCTGTCGTCTGCGCGCAGTCATACAGGAAACCCACAGGTGATATAATGACAAAAGAATCTGGAAACAAGTTTCATATCGGTTACTTATTCCGGTATTAATACTTAAGAACATGAACAGATTTGTTCAAGTTTTTAAAAAAATGCAGTGTGTCAGAAGACTGACAAAGACACAAATGATGCCTCAACAATACCGTAATGAACAGTCAAACCTTAGCTGAAATGTTGATGCCTGTAAGGACTGGTTCTTTTCTAATAGTGACACATCATTTAGAAGAGAAAAATGCACAGCTTTTCACCCTTCAAGCTTTTCAGATTTGTGGTTTTGCAACATAAATGAAGAATTCCTTTCAAACTCATCAAGCAGATTTATGTGCAGGCTGAATAAATGCCCGTGTAATCACAAGGAATGTATGGCTTTTAAAGAACTAGTCTCAATATGCTTAAAGTAAATAGAAGGAGAGGATACAGCACGATGACAACAGTAACAAAGGGATAATGTTAAACTATGAGTGTTTATTTGTAACACCAAACTCAAGAGTCCTGTGCTCACATGATAAGTTTCTGTATATAAAAAAGAAAGTGCGCAATACATGAAAAGGTGTCCAAAATATGCGGGCACAAAAGAGGTGGGTGTTAATAGCCGAGACTAGTAAAGTTGTGGGCCATTTTCGAGGTAGTACGCAACTGTGCATGAAAGTGCACAATGACAGGGAGTTAAGTTCCGGAAATCAGCCATAAAGTGTCTACATAGGCCCACGTTAATGTTATGACGGCATTTCGCTGCAGAGTCGAGAGTCCAGAGAATAAAGTCCAGTTATCAGTTATGAGTCAGGCCAGAGAAAAAGAGCGCGGATCTGCAAAGGAGTACGAGTATCCATGAATTATCCAGGGAGCTGGACTTTAAGGTTACAACGTGGCATTTACAGTGGTGGTCCTTAAAGTTATTAAAGTGGTAGTTTTTAAATATAGAATTCTTTCACCAGCCTTGTCAGGCAACTACAGTTTAAGCAGAAAGCATGTGGTTAACCAATGATCTCGAATCCAAACCTCAAGTTAGCCACTAACTTCTGAAAACAAGTCAAGTTTTTGTTTTAGTTTACCAAAACCGAGCTAAAAAGATCAGCTGGACCCAGACTAGCTTTAATGAATTTTCTGTGACTTATTAAAGAAGACCAAGCTGCTGGATCTGCTTTGAAACATTTTCCAAACAGCACGTCTCAAGATCAGTGAGTTCATTCGCTAATTTTGTTTTATGGCTACAGAAAAGCAACACTATAAACAACAAAGGGGAGAATATTCCAGCCATTCGAAGTCCTGGAGTTCGACCATTGCCACTGAGTTTTCATTGCCACCGTGACTTTCTCACGAGGTCGACCTTTATCATCCTCTCTTTTGCCTCTGGGCGGCCTGTGGACATGCGAGCCCTGCTCAGACAGGTCGGGCAACGTACGTTTGTCACGACATCACTGGAGTTAAGCTCTAGCATAATTCCACAAAGACCACTGCATGTTACAGCAATGAGCACCAAACAAAACAGCAGCTGAATTCTGGCTGCACGAGCCAAACATTGACGCAACTGCCGAAACTGACACAAGTCACACTGTTGGAGAAAACAGTGGCAAAGTTGATATTAACAACTATACTTCTACGCTAACCTTCATAGTTGATCATATCTGGAACCTAACAAACAAGTCTCGCTTTTTTGTCTTGTGATCATCTCAGTGACTGACAGTTTAAAATCTACGCTTCTTTTTCTGGGTTCATGCTTTCAGACATTTTACATTTCAGTTCATGGAATTCTACAAGAACACAAACCAGTTTAGGTTGTAAAATACTTTAGTTTATGGCAGCCATTGTGCTCTAAATACATCTGCAGGAAGATAGGCAGACAAGGTAGACCGTGTTTTCCAAGTTGTACAGAAAACTGGATGAAAATCTAAAAAGATTACTAAAAATCGATCACCCACACTACCCACAGTTGCCTTATCCAGTACCTGAGCATGATGGCTTAACTCAGAGTACCAATGTTCGTCCCAGCATCTCAAAACTTCTCTGCTCGTTCCTCCGCTCCCTTTCATGGACACACAATTGAAATGAGCCATCGCGGAGCACGACAGGGTTCATCATTTTAAGCTTTTTGCGGCTACACACAGTGCTCTCACATGTCTTAGAGGTTGATTACTTCACACAGTGATTTTCATTGAGACAGCTGTAATAGAGGAAACGCTGGTGTCCTGTGCTTCCTTGCCCAGTATTCTCCCTCTCAATTAAGTTCATGAAAATCTAGCTTTTCAGTTTTAGGGTAATCCTATCTAAAAATATCTGCTGTAGCACTGCCTTGTTTCTGGAATAACTAACTACTAAGCAGGCGTAATAGGCGATGGTCATTGTTATATAGAATAAAGGTTTTTTTTATGTATAGTTTTTGATCAGAATATATAAAATAGTTCCGTATAGAAGAGCCACAAAATATAAAGCATCACCACTGAAAGTTCAGTGATGGTGCTGGTCAGGCAAAAACTGAAGCGGCATAACCTGAAACAAATGATCTGCCATTAGAAAATCTAATACAAATATTTTCCTCCATACCACAGCAGCACAATGAACTTCATTCAAGTTGTACAAACATGCAGATATCTAAATGGTTGATGGCTGTGGACAGATGTTTGCACCCGTCTAGTAGCAAAGCCCACTGAGCCTTTTCAAAAAAGCTTTTAATGTATGCTTTACTCCCATGTTTGCAGAATGGCACAGCCTGAATCCAGCCCACTCTGCTAATGATGTTTCAGGCTGAATCTATTGTGTGCAGACACAGCCTGTGAGAAACGTGTATCATATCCGCATATATGAACCTATGGAATAAAAGCCAGGAACAGACCGCAAACATCTTTAACCTGTCAAATCCACTTTGGCTATGCTTTGTTGGTCACGTGCAGCTGGCAGAGTGGCTTTAGCCTTAGGTCTGTGGATCAGCTACCTGTTTACCAAATATGTGGCAGGAGACCAAACTCAGCACCATACAAAGGCGTTCGGTTTCTGTTTGTGCTCTGCTGCGATCACGCAGGAACATCACGTGCTTCACAGCCATTTAACTTTAATGCCGTCGTCATGTCTCTGCTGTGAATAGTGTACTGTTTTTGCATTTATGATTTTCTGAAAACAATTAGGCACCCCATGTATCTCGTGTATACATCTACATAAACCATGAGATGCTTGCTGGGAATTTCAGGAAGTATCCCCAGAAAGCCTTGCACAGTGAGCTCTCCAAAGCACTGCAGTGATTAATATAGAAGAAGCTGTTTTGCAGAGTTCTCTAAATTTCAACCTGATGCTATATCACGTGACCAAAACCCCAAGATAAAAAAATATACAGGTAGGGATGGTGAATAAAATTTGAGGAAACAAGGTGTAATGTGCACATGTACTCAGCTTCACTTGTTAATGTGAAAGATTATAAAAATAAACATAGCAAACATGTATGTAGCTTTTCATTTAACAGCATATAGAGAGCAAAAACAACTGCCAACAAGGGCAGGCTAGAACACCTGGTATTGCGTCCCCAAAAGTATATTAGCAGGAATGTGCATGGCTTTCCCCGCTGTATCCACATAAAACCTTATAGTATATGATGAAAAAAACCGCATAGCGCATCAAGTTGCCACAAGTTTCTCCAAGCTGCAATTGTTTTTAACCCATCAGCTGCGCCTCTATGCAGGACTTCTACCTGTTGCCTGCCCGCCTTTACAGGTGAGCTGCTACATGTCACATGAAAAAGCAGCCTGATAAACACGACACACATTAGCCCCTCAGCCAGTTACATGACTATTACTGTTTGCTTATGCCAGAAACAACTACGTGTTGCCTAAAGCGGCACGTGGTTCCCATCCTCTGCGAAAAGCAGCGAACACCTTCAAACTCTCAGGTAGGCCGGATCTCCGGCTCTCCTGAAGCCCGGCCGCGCTCAGCGGGTTGGGGGAGATTCTTACCGCGGGCTTGACGTCCTCGAACACGGACGTGTCCTCGGCGCCCTCCGCTCCCGACATCCTCACCGGCTTCAGCTGCGTGAAAACTGCCCTTTCTTCAGTCGCGTGGGGCGGATTCATGGCCAATCCTACACTCGTTGCCATTAAAGTTTCTGCTTAAACAAGTTTATCTTTTTTTCAGAATTTGTTTTTTAAGTGCATATACAGTTACTAACGTTAATAACGCCCTACTGGAGCTGAATGCTATGGTGTAATCCACAGCCCTCCCTTTTCTTGTAGCTCGCAGGTAGACTTTACCTGAGCTCAACTAGACACAGCCAATCAGAGCAGACTTCCAGCCCACTCAAGGAGGCGGGACTCACCTGCAGGAAAACAACAGAGCATCAGGTGAAATGTTGCCCCTGCATAATAGGCCAAGCATATGAAATACACACATTTTAACCAAGGTTTCTTTCTATTTTTCTCTTTGCTTTGAATAAAAAAAATGCTGTTTAAATGATATTTGTCACACGTGACTGAACCGCAGCGTCAAACACCCAGGGATAAGAATGTGTCATATACGCAGGGTGAAGTCATCCACATGTATCATCCACTCATCACATTTCTTCAACTGCAAAATATGTGCAAAAAGTTAAATTTTATCAGTATCAGTTTTATCCAATAAGATCAAATTATGTTACTTCTGTTATTTTATTTATTTATTTTTTGCTGCAAAATGAGATTGTCAAGCATACCAACACACAAACGTTACCATAAGACAGTCAGCATGCTGTCGCTCTGAGATTGAATGGGGTCAAGTTTGGAAATTACATGCAATCTGTTTCTGACAATACATTAATTAACTGTGATAAATCATCGAAAATCACTTGATATGTAGCAGAAATTTACATTCACACATTAACGTTTGTGCTCAGCAGCCGCCTTCTACAGGATTATAACCAGAGTACAAGCAGCTGGCAGCCAGTTGAGTCGAATCCCCTCAAGTTGAGATCATTGGCAAAGACACATTCAGACTGATGGCAACATGTCTGCATTTATAAATTATACAGCAATTATTTGCAAACCTTCATCAGTCTCTCAGAGAGTGATTGCCCTAACAAGCCTACCTGAATATATGTAGCCTAAAACTAGCCCTGGAAATTTCTCCAAAGCCACACCAAGAGAACAGATTTTCATATTTGAACACGTTTTCCACAAAAAGTATGAAATGCAATAGCTCAGTTTCCTAATTTGAGCTTAAGAAGCTGACTGGATGTGTGACCAGGGCGAAGCTAGTGTAGAATAAGTCTGGTGCGAGTGACTTTTTCCACACTGAGTAGTTAAAATGTGGGTAATGAGTCAGTGAAGCTCATTGCTTAAACCTTGTGTTTTCTTAGAGTAGAGCAATAAGATTTGCTCACCCTTTGAATGCGCTCTGTTTATTTAGCTTCACCCAAACATTAATCTTAATTTTCACTGTCTTTGCCACAAGATTTAAATTGTTTGTATACCATATTAATTGATAATTAAAAATGCTGTGTAACTTAAAATTCATATATATTGTTTTCAGCCACAAAACGTGCATGTAGACAAGGCACTTTCAATCCTGGCAGCTTAAAACACCAGCACACGTATCATTGTTAATTGTGATGAAATTTGACTCCACTGTGTTTATAGCAAGTAGTTATGGATTGTTAAACAGGCAACTCTGTTTGCATGTTTAAGCAGGCTCAACAATATTTTGTTGAGGGTGGTTTTCTTAAATATAACCAGCAGGCACAAACCGTTGTGACTTAGAGCAGTATCATGAAACAAGCACTAATGAACACAGTGCGGGGTATTAATAGTTATCAACTATCTTGTGTCACATATAAAATCTCAAATGTTTCATTCAAATCTAAAGAGACAAAAATCTGTTTAGTGTATATATATATAATTTATTAGCTGATTGAACACAGTTGTTGCTGAAAGCAAACTAAACAAAAAGTGGAAGTAAAACCAAATGGCAAACACTCAACACTACTATAAAATTAAAAAAAGGAAATACCTAACCAGAGTTGTCACAATTAACACCAAAGAACATGTGCGTGTCTTATCAGTGCTGTATCTGACAATATTTCACACCGCAGAACTAAACCTTTCCCCTCTTGTAGCAGCAGTTTTTCCAGTGCATTTGCAGTCAGACACGAAAACTACTAGGGTGTCCAATACAGCTTTGACCATATGACGTCTGCATAACAACGAAGGTTTGGGTTGATGTAAATCACACGACTGTTAACTTAGAGACTGTGCTTCACGTATCATTTGGCAATTGTCTTTTTTCATGAAGTGTGACTGAGTTTATTTATGCACATAACTAGCGAGAACCTGGTTGAGCTGTTCGTGATGCACGTGTCAAAAGATGTCAGAAAAGAGTAACAACGTATCATTAGGCTTTTATTGTCCAATTGCGTCAGTTTGCTGATGTCAGACTTAAGGTCTGAATGTGCTGAGAATCTGTGGGAAAATTCACAAATGGTATGCTTTTCTCTGTATACTTAATATGACAATAGGAACTCCCGCCACACTGGTTGGCCTGCATATTTAGCGTCTATAATTATAGCAAAGGGGAACATAACATTCTGAATACTTTTAGATAACAGAAAATGAAGGAGGCCATAGCTGACTAATTTACAACCCATCCCCTATTGCCTCCAGGGACAAGTTCATTCCTACAGTTTCTAGGGGTAACATGCAGTGGCTAAAGTGGGATCTGGTAGTTGGGATAACCCAAAGATGTGGTGTAGCAGTGCAGTATGAGGAAATGAATCAGTTAGTAAGTAGTCACATGTTAGCTTCACAAGATTTGTTTTCTTTTTGTGCGAGATATGATTAGCTGGCTGCTGCTGGCTCTGATATCCATTGCTCTAAATTTCATCATTTCAACCCTGCAGAACAGAAACCCAGCAGTTAGAGGATTTAGGACAGACCCACCAAGAGTCTAGTTGCTGGTGGTGTTGAAGATGTAGACTGACACTTGGATGGAGCTCTGAGTGACCTGGGTGAGTTGGAGGGAGGAGGTGGGTTGCACGAATGAGAGTCTGAAAGGTAGAATGGCAAAGGGCACGACGCAGAGTGGAGGCTGACTGGCTCAATGTAGGTGGGCGAGAAGATGATTGGACTAGAGCAATGATGACACCACTGACACTGACAGTGTGGGAAAGTGGAGTGGTGTAAAGAACAGACTACTGGCTGAACACCCAGGAAAGCAGGCAGATGAGTGATTACAGATCTTCCTTATTGAACTTACGCATAAGCTTCTTTTTTTAAATCAATCATTAACATTAAGAAAAGAACCATGTTGAATATTACTTATCTAAAGGTGCATTTCACCAGTCTGATAGCATCAGCAGACTTGGATCTGTTTATTTTCCCCACAGAAACCCATTTATACAACTTATTTTCATTACATATTTTTCTCAAGTTGTCCACTGCCCACTACTGGGACCCACCTCACAGTTTGCAGCTCTGTTCAGGTGAACTTTTAACTAGCAACCTGCTTTTGACTGCTAACGTGTGCACATGCTGATGCATAAATTATATATATCTTATATATGATACAGTCTTGATGACCTTATGATTTTATGTTGTTGGCAGAAAGCTAAAATCTGGCACAGAAAATTACATTTGAGGCTGATGGGAATGCTGTGAGTGCCCATGATGAACCAAAATGACAATTAAAAAACTAAAGTAATCAAGTTATTCTAGTGACTAAACTGACCAATTTGGGTCATTAATGACTAATTTAATGTGTCTATGTCTTTATATTTGACATACACTCTTAAGTCCATTTGATTGTGTAATCTGAGTTGTTTCATTGTCACTTTGGACATTAAATGTTTGCCCTGTGACTTCTGTATTTTGAGTGCTCAGTAAAACTATGAACGTGCTATATAAAGCCAAAAAATTCTCAGAATTATATCCACACAACTTTCAACTTTTGTTGCCACATAAACGGATCAATTACTGCAAAAAGCTGACAGAAAAACTCATTACACAGAATAAATGAGCCCACTTGGTCACTTGAACGTTGACCTGATTGTGGAACTTGATGGAGGATCACCATTTTTATTATTTAGTCCTAAGAGTGACGTTGCCCTCCAAAATTTAAATGAAAAATCTCCAAAAACAACGTAGTGGTGGCATCAGAGCAAGAATTAAAGATCACCAAAGCAGTTCTATAGTCAACGTATTGTGAAACCTGCCGATTGCACTGATCAGCAATCCATCAAACACATGATTTATGTGTTTGTATTTCATGTTGTTTCTAAGAGGAAAGACAAACTGGAGCCACAAAACCAGATTTGTGAGCTAAAATATAGATGATTAACTGTTAATTACACCCCTCAAAGGTGGCCTATGTCACTTTTGTTAAACTATTATTGTGCAAACACAGTCATACCATGGAGAATTTAAAAAATGACACCCCACCCATTGTTTAGTAACATGCATTTTTTTCTTCGTTGCCTAAAAGGCGTTTGGAAGACGTTTGGGCTTGGTCAGTTATTAAAATGCTCAAACTGCATGAGAAGGATGACTAATTTCTCTGCTGTAATCCTACATGCTCAGTACATACCCGAACTACAGTCTGCTCTGCCTGGTTGTTGTTATTAATGTTTTTAAAATATGAATAAAGATATTGTTGAATGAAAAAAAACTTAAGTGTCTGTCCCCATGTACCTGCCTTCGTTTTGTTCTTGTTGTGCACTCTGCGTTTACCGTATAAATCCTTTAATTGCAAAGATGGAAAGAGATGCCATAGACAGAAATAGTAACATTAACCCTGAGTCTAAATTTTTGGGAGAAATATTTAACATAGATAGTGGTAGAAGTTTAAGTTCCACTTACAAATAAATGTTTTAATACCCTTATTGGGACAACAATGATGGTAATTCTATTGCACGGCACTGATATTGCTTCAAAATAACTGCCTGCATTTCAAGACACTGTAGTAAAACTTGCTTCCTGACAGTCTCAGACTTGGCATAAATCAATTCAGCAGTGAAGCATGACCAAAATTAACTTAAATTCAAGCTCTTACAGGCAGAGTGAACACTGTATACTGCAGGAAGAGGGTGGCACAACATGCTATTACACAGCCAGAAGCACTCACATTCACACCTATGGTGAGCCTACTCACCATGCTTTTGGACTGTAGGGGGAAACTGGAGCATTCATAAAGGAAAATGTACACGGAAAGGCCTTAAGTGTTAAAACACACCTCTAAGGCAAAATGCTAACCACGGTTTCGCCAGAATTTCAGT